CAAAGCCGTGCTGCTCCGTGCCCTCCGTTAATGAATTCAGCGGTGAGTTTAGGGGATCGCGGGAGAATGAATTGTCACAGCGTCGGAAAGCGAGAGATGGCAGGGGAATTACCGCTAATCCTTCCTTGTGGGACACAACACTCCAAAGGATTTAAAGGCTATTCAAAAATGTAGAAAAAGAAGAAGCGACAAGGACACCCCTCCCTTCTCTCTTACGTTTTGGGTTGGTCACTTGCTGCTGGCTGGGAGAGGAAAGAGAAACTTGGAGGAGAGGGAAAGGATGGGAGGGGGAGAAGAAAGATGAAGACAGGAGATTAGATCTGGAGAAAAGCCGATCTTAGCCTCTGAGGGAGTGTAGGCTGCAATTAAACCTCTTTTGCCTAACAATACCCTATTGCTGGGTATTGCTGTTTGCGCGGTACTCGAGATATGGCGATAAGAGAGGAAGGAGCTGCAAGCAGGGGAGGCTGCGGTTGTCGTCCTTGGAAATCCTGTCTGCAGGGCTGTGAGGTGATCCTCTGCTCCATCACCAATAATAAATGTATTTTGAACAGCTCTGGTGGGAGGATTTTGGAACTGTGGGGTTTGAATATCCTCTCCCCGCTGTTTGTTTGATTTGTGGACACTTTCAGGGGTTTGGTCACACGAAAGGTGTGTGCCCCAAGGTCACTCCCTCTGTATTTTGGGCAGCCTGGTGGGCACCGAGGCAGGSCTGGGCTGGGCTGGTTTTGCYCTSCARAGRTGSTGAAGTTCTTTCATCCCAATCACCTGTCCCAGTCAGACCCCAAGGGCTGCCAGGCTCCATCCTGTCACCTTCAAAACACCACTGGCACCCATGCAATGCTCATTTCCATCCCTCTTATCACCATCATGCAAAAAAAGCAGCACTTACACACTCACCATGAACCTTCTGCCTTGTAGGTGCTTTGGTCAGTGCTGGAAACCCTGGGGCCAAGCCACCTCCAGCACCTGAATCCACCCAGCTAACCTGTGAGATCCTGCACTAAGAGATTGTCTATTTTTTYYTWTTTTTTCTTGCTTTTTGAGCATTTGAACAGAGCTGTCCTCAATTCTGCACTGTTTCTCTGTGTGTTCACAGCAGCACAGCGAGGTCCAGCCCGGTGCATTATTGGCTGTGCCCTCTGGGTGACCTTGAGGCTGGGGAAGGTGAGAGCTCCTGGCAGATGGGCTCCTCTCTGCAAATTGTGCTCTGCTGTCATTTGTCCCAATTCCCAGCCTGACCTGGCCGCGGCAAAGAACAACTTATTAAGGAATTGCTTCTTCCCTCCTCTGCTCAGCTGCTCTCAGGCTCAGGCAGTTCCCATCGATCCTCTGCTCCTACTCGAGATGTTTTGCAAGAAGCACTCAGTGAAATTCATTCCAGGGCTTTGCCAGTGGATTTTGCTGCCTGAACTGCCTGTGGGACAGAGGCAGGTGAGGGTTTGGCTCGGAGAGGGTCACAGTAAGAGCTGTCATGGAAGAGGAATTTCCACTTTTTAGATATTTTTCAGCATGTTATTAAAAAAAAAAAAAATTGAGTTTTCCCACAAAATGAAATCCAGGGCTTTTAATTTCAGTGTGTGTGAAACATTTTTACGTTTTGGTGTTGCTTTGGGAGGTTAGTCAGACTGTATAAATAGAAACAAATTTCAAAATGAAAATTTGTTTTTGCACTCTGAAAAGCAGCAGCATGTGCCTAAACAGATTTTTTTTTTTAAATGACATTGTGGAGCAATTTAACTTTATTAGAAATCCCTTTTTTCAACCCCTCCAAAGCATTTTTTTTAAAAAAAAATCAGTTTCCATGCAGAGTATCTGTTCCAAGATCACAGCCCCGTGCAACCAGAAACTGCTGTGAACACTCCCATTCCATAGTTTCACCATGCCACCTCATTAAATTCCATAAAACACCTACAAACTAGCAATTCCCAGAGGAAAAATGTTCTCCCCGAGAAGTTTCAACCCGTTCCTGTCAGGTATCAGTTTGTCCAGGGAAACCAGCTGCTTTTTATGGTTTTGTTGATTTTTTTAAAGCACACTGAAGCCTCTTCTCATTCTCAGCGGGGTCAGGGGAGCCTTTCTGTGGTGCTGCTCCTGCAGCCAGCTGGGTCCAGGGGGGAAGGACACACACAGTTCTGGTTTCCAGATTTGATATCTGTGTCTCTGTGCCCTGTGGGGACCAATAATGCAGTCACACTAATGAGGGCACGCCCTGCTCAGAACCCTCACTSTCAGCAAATCAGGGTGTCCTGCCCTGAGACAGCACCCTCTGCAAGGTGAACAAGTCCAGAGCCTCATCTGTCCTGGTATTCTGCATGGGTTAAATGAAGCTCAGAGTGAAATCAGGGCACAGCCCCATTACAAATGGAATAATTCGGATGCAACAGCCCTTTGGAGCTTTGTCTCCATCTGTTTCTGTGACCTGGGTAAAAGAGATGCTTCAATAACTGGAATATGTTCATGTATTTAGGTGAGAGATGAATGCAGACCTGCATGGGTGTTTGCCTGGCTGCTCATTTTTTCACCCAGTGAGTAAATCCTATCAAAGCCACTTGCTGCAGAGTGGGCAGTTTCAAACAGTGCACACCAGCAGCTTTGGAAACATGAGAAGGTTGAGTTTTCCTTTGGAAATTCGCTTCCTACTATGAAGGCAAATGGCCATGTSTGTTTCTGTGGGATGCACAATATTCCCTCATTTATAGTACCAGGGAAAGTTGTTTTGAGCCTTCCAAAAACAAACCTACTGCTTCTCTGCTGGGTAAATGGTGAAAATGCAATTGTTCACAGAGTCTTGTCCATCTCTGACTCATAAATCTCATTGTAGAGCAGACAGGCTCTGCCTGGGCAGTCACAGAATCACAGAGGGGGTCAGGCTGGATGGGACCACAGTGGCTCCTCTGAAGTTACCATGGGTTTTGTAGCTTTTTCTTGGACAATAAGGAAGGCCTGGAACAACTCACATATCCACCTCTGCTGTGGGGACTCTGAATAGGAAGGGAAAAACAAGTGACCACTTTCTTTTTAAAATTACACTGCTGGGAGCCTTTTCTCAGCACCTCTCCAGCTCTCCTAAAATTGCTTTGATATTCAAAAAWGCACTGACTTTTTAAACAATACTGTCCTAAATCCCTTTTATGAATGCCCAGAACCACTCGCAGGCTTTCTGAAACTCATTGTTATAATTACAATCAGGAATCATAGGACTCTGTGCTTTGTGCCAGAAATACACATCCACTGAATTGTTTGCAGAGGAGCCACAGAGAGAAAGAGTGAAGGAGAAACGCGGCTTCAGCACTGCTCAATTCAGGAGCAGRAACTCCCACTCTGTTTAATCTTTCCTCTTTTTGTTTCCCAATTTAACTTGGAGTTGCTGAAATCCAAGCCAATGTTTGCTTTGTCCTCTGTGCTCTCCTTGGGCTGTGCCCTGGTTTATTGTCCCCCTCCAGCTCCAGCAGTCTCTGGAGGAGCTGGAAGGTGGAAGGGTGAGGAGGAAAGTCTGCAGGACCCATCAATCCCAGCAGAAGTAAGAATTCCATTTTGGGAATTTCTGGAACAGCAGCAGATGCAAAACCAACTCTCTGGGAAGGCGAACACAGAACTGAGCTTAGTTTGATTAAAACTTCATCTCACAGGTCACCAAAAAGCTTAGGGAGGGCTGTGGGGGGTTTTGGCAGTGTTGTCTGACACAGCATACAGGGAGGGGGCTTGTGACTCAACTTTTGCCAGCACAAAGCCTGGAACTTTCCAAGAGTGTCTGATGTTGAGCCCTGATCCTGCTTCTGAGGAAATGCTGCTTTCTGATGCTTAGAAAAGCRAGCTGGATTGGGCCTTCCTCCTGGATAGATATCAAATCTGATCCACCACTCAGTTGGTTCTGTTTTACCCCTGAAGAACATCTTTGATTATGGAAGGATTTGCAAGTTTAAAACTGGAGTAATTCAATTATTAATCTCGATCAAAGCCTTTGATAAACAGAGAGCAACACTCCCCACCCCATCTGATATCCCACACATCRATGGAGTGCTCTGTGATATGATTCCATGGCATTCAGGGCCTCCTTCCCTGGTTCAGGRCAGGGCTGGGATACATTTAGTTTAACCAAACCACACTTTTCTCCTCTCTCTCTTCTCCCTGCTAAATGTCAGGTGTGTTCCTGGTGAAAGAAAAGCAAAACTCCCCTGCCCAGTCCCGTTCCAGGTGGCAGCTGACCCCTGGGGAAGGCTGAGCAGACAGATCTGAGCTCCACTTCAACCCTGGAGGCTCCTGCAGCACCYTCCAACACTGAATTAAGGCTGGTCCAGAGRKTGGAAAAGCYTAACCTGGAACTGKCTGGCTGTAAACATCAAAATGYTTYRTMCAGGCTCMATTTYKCTCACTTAGGGCAGTCCCAGWGTATATCCAGRGACRGTGAATGGGGAGAAGCACTGGGGGMAAAGAAATATTTGRCTTTAAAGGTGCTAAACATTTCTTCTCCCCCAAGAAAATCCCAAACTGCTCTCTCAAATGCTATATAATCTAGATATAAGTAAGAGTTTTGGGTGATGATTTCAGTATTTGGTCTTGGTGTATAGAAAACTGAAAGAAATATGTTGAGGAAATTTCCCACCAACAGAAACCTCCCTCCCTCCCTGACGGCAAAACTACTCAGGTTCCCTGAGCACCTGCCTGTTGTGCTCTGGGACACCCCACTGCTCTCTGGAGGGTTTTTTCCCTGACTCATGGTGCCTATGGAGGCAGACACRAGACTTTTGGAATCCATCCTTTGTTTCCCACTGTTCTCAGAGCCAAGAACCACATTTCCTTACTCTCCCCTTGAGATTCTGGGCTCCACCCAAAACAACAAACCATGAAGTTTTTCTGGGTAAATGGTCTCAGGACCCAAATCCACTTTCAGCAAGCAGAGGACAGATGACAAGAAGAGCAGTCAGTCTGTTCCCTGACCCACCAGACCTGGGTGTATCCCTGGGCCCAGCTGTGAATAACAGACACAGACAACAGAGCTCAGGCAGCTCTTCTGGCTCTTGTCACTCCTTAACTTGCAAATTCCCTGGAGGAAAGGTGGCCAGCAAGGCAGGAGATTCTGTAGTGCTTTGGCAGTGCCTCCATCCCCTCTGAACAGCAATTTCTGAGCACCATCAGCCCAGACCAGGATGGCAGACGAGAGGAGGAACCCCTCTTCCTCTTCACATGAGTTTCACCTCCTCCTGATGCCAATTTTTGCCTTCCAGCAGGACTCCTGTCAGCTGCCTCCAGAAGATGTGCTTGCTTATTTCCTTGTCTTTCCACTCCAGGTAGGTGTTCCTCCTCAGGTAGCGGGACAGCCCCAGCCTCTGCCTCAGCAGRGCTTTGTTCACACCTTCCAGCACAACCATGATGATCCCAGCCTTGCCCTCCACCAGCTGCCACGACTGGGCGATGTCAAACTCGAAGCTGCACCACTTGCTCTCCAGGAAGTCGGTGGAGATGACGGCGATGACRTTCCTGCTGCTGAGGAAACCCTCCTCGATGATGTTGGTGACAACGGGCACCCCTGGCAGGAAGTCCCTGAAGTACAGGCACAGGTGGAAGGGAGGGGTCCCTCCTTCCAAGGGCTCCACCAGCTCCTTTATCACCCATTCCTGGTCCTTGCTGGAGTGGATGACGAAGGCATCGTAAGTCTCTCCTCTTTGTGCAGAGTGTTTGCAGCCACTGAGCAGCACCAGGGAGTAGTAGAGCTGGAAGTAGTACCTGTAAATCAGGAAGAGGAGCAGCAGTGCAGAGGACAGCAAGAACATGGAGAGGACAACCGTGCCCATGCTGACGTGGCAGGAGGACAGGTCAAAGCTCAGCAGGCTCACGTTGGCCACGTAGGAGGGCATGTGGCACAGCATCAGCTCCTCATTCTGCAGCAGCTCCCGCTCTTCTTTCACCCACTTCAGGAAGTCCAGGTACACACAGGARCAGTCAAACAGGTTTTGAGAGATGTCCAACAGGACCAGGCTGTGGGGAAGAACCTCCCGAGCTGATTCCAGCAGCACAGTCAGCTGGTTCCTGCTGAAATCCAGCACTCTGAGCGCTTGGAGTGGCTGGTAGACCCCAGGATCGAAGGTCAGGAGCTTATTGTTGCTGATGTTTAGCTCTTTGAGCTCAGAGAGGGCGTCAAAAGTACTGGGATCCACCTGTTCTAACTTGCAGCTTGAAATATCCAAGGTGTGGAGGTGAGTTAGGTTTTTGAAGTTGTTTGCCAGTTTGTTGTCTCCAAAGGAGTTCCCTGCCATCTTGAGCACCTGCAAAGAGTTCAAGCCACAAAACGTGCACTGGGATTTCACTTCAGTTTTGGTATGRGAGATATCAAGGTAAATCAGTTTCTGAAGGGACAGGAAGACGGGGTAAGAGCCAGGACCAAATAAAGTCGTGTGCTGAAGGTCCAAATACAACAAATTCTTCACACTGGTGAAATCTCCAGTCAGTCTGATATAAGAATTGAAGCTTAAGTTCAAGTGTTTCAAATTTGGACAGTTCTGAAACTTAGGGGAACAGCAGGTACGGATGTTGAGACTATTTTCACTAAAATCCATGACCTCCAGCTTACTGAGACCCTCAAATTTCTGCTTGAAGTCTTTGAGGCTTCTGTTCTTGGTGATACGAAGCACTCTGAGCTCCTTGAAAAGCGACAGCTTCCAGGCAGGCACCTCCTCAAAATCACATTTCTTGCATTCCAGGTGTTTCACTTTGGACARCGGGGGAACCTCTGATATTTTCTCGAGTCCGAGGTCCACCAGGCGAATGGTGGAGACGTTGYTTATGCAGTCAAACAGAGTGTCTGTGTCATGCTCAAAATCCTCGAGGCAGAACAAGACAAACTCTTCCATCTGTACCTGGCACAGCCCACTCAAGAGCCCYCTCTCAAAGCCTTCCAGCCTCTCAGCATCACTGAATTCCCCAAGCACGAGCCTGCTGACCTGCAAACCAGCCAGGCCTTGCAGGGACTCCTGCATCACGCTGAAGTTCTCAAAAGTGGACCTGAGAGCCAGCTCAGCCAGGTGAATCCCTGCCAAGGCCCCCGGCTCGATGGATTTGATGTTGTTCAAGGACAGCACCAGCGTGAGGTTGAGCCTGTTCCCTCCCCTCAGGGCATCSAGGTCTCCTCTGGAGATCGATGTGATCTTGTTGGAGAAAAAGCTCAGGTGCCTGAGGGAGGTCATGTTGGCAAAATATTTGGGAAGCTTCAGTGAAGTGATGCTGTTGTGGCCCAAATTCAGCTCCTGCAGGGTGTGCAGGTGGCCAATGGGCAGCTCAGACAGAGAGGTTCTGTTGGTTTCCACCAGCACCAGTTTTTTCAGTGATGTTAAGCCGTGGAAAGCTGCTTTGCCCAGGTGCTGGAGRGAATTGGCTGTTAAAATTAAGGTGGAAAGTCTAGGGAGGTCCATAAAGGAGTTATCTTCTATTGAGTGGAGGTGGCACCTGTTGGGCAGGAAAAGGAAATAAAAGTGAGTGAAATACTGTCCTTTTCTTGTTCATGGCGTGCTGTGTGACATCCTCAGGCTCAGCCCCATCCTAGGGCTTGGTTTGGCTTTGCTGTGCTGGGCAGAGCCAGGACATGCAAAGGGAACCTTTCCACCTCTTCTCTCCTCCTCTCTTCCCTCTCTAATCCTAAATTCAAAGTAAGAGACTTGGAGACCTGTGAAGATCAAACATTTATGCAGGCAGCAGGAAAGAAGAATTGTAGCTTTCAGTTTAGGCCAAAGTGATATTGTGATGGCCATCACTGATGGAAGAACCAGCGGGTTCCAGCATTCCCTCACATCTTGMACCCCCAAATCCCTCAGGGTGTCCCCTCAGCCACATCTGGGTGTCCCCACTGGCACCAGAGTGGTGCAGCTGTGGCCGTGGTGATATCAGAGGGTGAGCAGACCCCAGGCCATGCTGGCTCTGAAGCAGAAAAAGAAGAGGAGAGCACGAGGGTGGCCGCCTAAGGTTTGTTTCATGTGGTAAAATCCAGAATTTGAGAGCCACATCCATTGTGCAGTGAATCCCAGCAGAATCAGTTTAATAACGCAGGCRGCGTCTCACAGCAAACGTGCTCTGCCACTCAGGCACGCTGGAGCTGGAGCTGTGACGGGACTGAGTGACATTTCTCAGGGAAACAATTTACCCAGAGAAACTGTTGTCTGAAGTCAATGGAAATTATACATCAATTCAAATTTGCTAATAAGCCTCCCCCATCTCCTCCCCCAGATATGTGAGGAGAAGGGAAAAGAGAATATGTTGATATTTTAAAACAGCCTTTTAGAAAATGAATGTACCTTCATGTTATTTTTTTTTTCAAACTTTGATTAGAAAAACAGCTCACCCAAGATGTTCCACTTCAGAGTTTTTGTAACAGTGAAAAGGCTGACATTTTTCTTGTTCAGAGACAAGTAAAACATCTTCCTCCTCCTTCTCACATCCCAACCTACAAGATCAGACTGACAGACCCAGCTCTGTGTGGAGGGTTTGCACTCAGTGACTGGACTAAAAGCTGCACATCACCAAGGGGATGTGCAAAATGACAGAGACAGGGACAAAGTCACAAGAAAAATTAAAAAAAAAATAAAAAAATAAAATAAAGAGCCAACACCAACAGACCCCAAAATAAGCCACCATGACAGCCCAGCTGGTGAAGGAAAAATTAACCAGTATCCACATAATAAATCCCATTACCTTGAAAGGTCCAGAAGCTGCAGCTCAGGGACTGATGCAAAATAATTTGACCCCAGTGATTTCAGATTGCTGAAACTGAGGTCCAGGTTCTGGGTGGTGTTTGGGACTSCCTCAGGAACTCCAGAGATGTTCAGCCCTGTGCATCTGAAACTTGTGTTAGGGGTTATCTGTAAGAGAGACAGATCCAGTCACAGGCAGCATCTGCTCCTCATGAAGCACCAGAAAATGTCACTGTCAGGAAATGAGCAGAATGACCCCCCTTGCAGCTCATTTGTAAATGATCTATCCTGTTTTTTTTTTGTTAATAACCTTATATATCCTGAGCACCTTTCCTATTTCTGATAGAACCAGTCTCACTCTCCCGGAGGAGCTGCATTTCTTGCTGATTGAGGCAGGGACAGAACTACAGAACAGTGTTCCTTGAGGCTACARATGAACCAGCTGCAACCTTTGAGGAGCCAGGTCCATGGATGCACTGCATGTCCAGGACCAGCTCTCAGCTCTTTTTCCCTGCACATAACCAGAAAAAGTTACTCTGCAAGCAAGCAATTGTCAGCAAAACTTCGCTAAAGGCACCTGGTCAGTGTCAGCTACCTGGTGAAATCACTCTACTGCACAAATCAGGCAAAAACCTGAGTTTTGTAGGAATTAGAGACAAGGTTTGGATCTACTCCAAGGCAAACATAATCTATTACAATAACTGAGCTACAGCACTTTCAGAGGTATGGAAAGCCAGCAAGAAAAGATTCTTGCTGCTGGTTCTGGTTCTCAGATGTCTTTGAGACCAGATTTTATTTCAAATACTTCAGTAACCTTAGCAACAACCTTAGGGAAAAAAAGCTGGGCTTTTCTAAGACAACAAACAGAAAAGTGGCACCAGAGAAACAGAAGGAGTTTGTGCTCACTCGGAGCTCACGTACCTCCACGCAGGGGTTGAGGAGACACCCTGCCAGCGGGGACGGCACAAATGCCAGCTGCAGCAGCACCAGGAGTGTCCCCACGCAAAGGGCTCCTCTYCTGGGCATCTTCAGGAGGCCAGGAGTGCAGGAGAAAGGAGCATAGAGAGAGAAAGCTGGAGACAGAATCCTCCTGCGGTGTTTCACAACTCCGGCTTCTCATTGCGCGTCTCTGCGAGCTGCAGAGAGCAGGAAGGGAAGTGAAACTCGGCCACTGCCGTGTTTCTAGACATGCTCTGGGTGAGCTGCTTTAGTTTTTGTGGGTTTTTTGTTTCTTTTTTTTTTTTTTTGGAAATGTTCTTGGAAATGTTTTAGCTTGACTTACAAACTTTGCCCAAAGTTGCTGCTCTGCTCTTCCAAAAAAAAAAAAAAAAAAATAATGTTGAAAAAAAAAAAAAAAAAAAGTAATGACATATTGTTTGGGCAAGAAATTAAAGAGGAATATGGATTGCAACAGCATCACTTGATCGCCTCTGATTAGCTCAAGTCAAATTGGCAAAAAAAAAATAAAAAATGGAATATTTTGTGCAATTCTGAGTCCAGTTTCGTGCTCCACATCCCATAATTCAAATTTGTTAGAGAAAGTGACTCTGCCTTTGCGCTCCTGCCCTGCCCCCAGCTTCACCACTCTGGCAGGTACTGGAGCAGTGCTCAGCTGTGGCAGAGGTTTTCTTGAGCCAGGTAAGCACAGGTTTATCTGTGGCTGAGCTCCTGTGAACAAACATCCAGGTTTTAACCATCTGCTTGGACCTTGATTGCAATTATTGCAGGAACGTGGCCAGGCACAAGGAAATTAAGAGTGGTCAGAGTTGTGGTCACAGAAATTCTGCCCCTCCCCACCCTTCCCATAGGGGAAGTTGCTGGGAGCAGCAAAAAGGAGAGGCACRAACACCCTGAGCTGGGCTCAGAGCTGCTCCCTGCCCTGCTCAGGCCTGAATCTGTGTTTAATGCCTGACCAYAAAACATCTCACTGTGAATTCCCAGCGCAGGCTGTTGTTTCAGGGAAAAGCTTTGTAAAACCTCACAGTGGGCAATATTAATTTAAGTCATCCTCCTATTAAAGCTCCCTGCCTTCGTTTACTCTGATAAATGGCCGTGCATTCATGTATCTCCTCCTGTCTTCCTGGAGATAACTAAGAAATGTTACTGGGGATCCAGCCATAGGGTTATGGGTATTATCAACACCAGAGACAGAGAAGTGGCAAAAAAAAAATGAGACAAGGGTGGAATATCTGTCTAGAGGAAGATGGAATAAAGCGTGACAACTCATGACAGTCGGTGAAAATTAATATTAAATATAAGCTGYGATATCAGTCCAGTGAGCAATCCACTTAGAAAGAAAAGTTTAAAATATTTCAGAGATGGAAGTTGGACTTTTTGGCAGGTTAGAGGAGGGCCAGGGAGAGATGGGGAAATCCTAAAATAACTGATGATCTGTGGGATAAAAAACACATGGCAGCACAATGGGAGCTAAAACCGACACCCTGATGTGCAGCCAGATAGTGCCCATTAAGCCAGCAGACAAAAAGTTTGTTGAAATTGGACRAGTTCTACAAAATCCCTGCTCTGAAAAGCCTCTGGTGATTGCAGGTATTTCCTTTTATAGATGGAATCAAAAGTGAATGGAAACAATTGCTGACTGCTTCTGTGCCTGGATTAAGGAAATTGGCAGAGCATCATGTGTCTGCAGAGAGAACAAACGAGCGCATCCCTCAGCATTCGATATGCGGAATGAGGCAATCCACATTTAATTTTTTATCTAAAGCTGCGATGAGCCTGAAGTGTGCTCCAGAAATTACCATTTCAATGGAGACTTGCTGAAGATGCTGAAGAGTTTGGGAGCATCACCAAATCCCTCCCAGAGCCACGCTCAGGGGTCAGGTGGGGAGTGGAGCTTGAAGGGCATTCGGGAAGGCACTGCTGGTGTCACAGGGGACAGTGCCACAACACATCTTGTAATTTTTTTTTGTCAAATTATTGATTTTTTATTAATTATTAATCAATATGCCAATTCATTAATTTGGCATATTATTAATATTTGTTCAAGGACATCCTACARACACTGCAAGGGATGGGGCATGAGCAGAAAACGTGCAAGTTAGCAGATCAAACCCAGCCACCAGCACAGAAAGTCAGTGCTGTTAACTTCATATGGCTCAGCTGGCACACAGCAATGAGGAGAAAGCCATAATAACGATGTAATTGCTCACAACAACTGAAACTATTATTTGGAGTCCCTCAAAGTGACAAGAATAACAGCTAAAATCAAACATGATTCACTGCTCTGGCAATTTACTGGAGGGATCGTTGAGGATCTCTTAGCAAGGAGGTGGTACAGAGAATCTGTGTTTCCAAAAACACACACCCGAGTAATCTTTGTCCTCCTGAACGTTATTATAATGTGAGTAACACAAAAGCAGGCAGTGCTTAGGCAGCTCTGTGATCAGCAGTCCCAGAATTGCTCTCAGATGGGCTGCAGCCCTGGCCTCATGTCCCTTCCTGTCACAGTGACAGCTTTGCAGTCACCTGTGGTGGATTAGGCTGAAATCACCATTTTCAGAGGGGTGCAGGCTCAGGGGGTGCAGGCAGTTCCCAGTTCTTGGGTCTCCCCTCACACTCAGCAAGTCAGCCACTTGTGTACGTGTTCCACCTGAGCAGAAAGGCAGAGTGACAGGAAATGTGGCACRAATTTAACAGCATGTCGAATTTTCCCAACCATTCTGCTGGGAAAAACAATCTATATAAATTGCAAGGAAAAAAAAAACGGGAGGAAGAATAACCTGAAAACATCTTTAAGATCTTTTTTGCTGCACATTCCACAAATACATTGCTTCCTGGAACTGGTGAGTCACTGCCTTSCACAGTAACCCTTTCCTGACCTGGCAGCCACAGGGTAGAGCCAATCTGGAGCTCACAGAGCCTGCACAGAGCCTGGGGAGGCAGCTGACACTGATTTCAGCAGAACAGGTCCTAGAGAGCCTCCACGCCTGTAACTCTCACTTGTGGAGCTTCCCCATGTGAAGAGTGTCTAATAGTAGAACCACAGAAACACAGAATGGTTTGGGTTGGAATGGACCTTAAAGATCATTTCATTCCTACCCTGTGCCGTGTTCAGAGCTCATCCAGCCTGGCTTTGGACACTTCCAGGGATGGGAAAACCACGGCTCACACTTGATGGAAGATCAGCTTTTGTTTGTGGAGCTCCTGGCTTTGAAGAAGAGAACAACATTGAAACTGAGGAACTCCACGTTCCCTTTGGGGTGTCAGACAGCGTCACTTCTCTCTGTCTGAGCAGTGAGTGTCCCCAGTGACAGCTCCAGAGCAAGGAGAATCAGCATTGGAGGTGGAATCAGAGTGTCCTCATGCTGCCCAGCACACACCAGCCCAGCCCATTGCCACTGGTGGCACCTGACAGAGCTCAGCATTGCCGAGGCGTTTCCCATTGCAGAGCAGAGCTGAGACTGGTGCACACAGGAGACAGCAAAAAAACAACCCAAACATCAGAGTCTGAGTTAGTTGGATAAAAATCAGCCAAGCCCACACTAAATCAGGCAATGTGTGCCATCAGGTGGGCTATTCCCCAAAGCCAAGGTCGTATGAATAGCCCAGAACTGTTCCAGAGCTATTAGGGAAGAACTGTGTCAGGTAATCAGGGACAAATAGAGCACTGGAAGAAGTGATTAATCAGTGTCAAGGCAGTCACTATCTGTGGCAGCTACTCCATATGGACTATGTCAGGTCATTAGGAGCCCTGCATTTGACTGAAGTCAATGTTTAATCTAAATGGCTGGAAGGATTTCACACAGATGGTGGAGACATCCAGCCTCGSCTGCCAAGCGTTCATGGACAGGCAGTGAGTGAGAGAGGAGCTCCCCAGATCCCTGGAGAGGGCCCGGCTGGCACAAACAGCCCAGCAGCACCTTGTCCTTGTGCCTGGGATGAGCCATGGTCACCCCTGGGCTGGGGATTCACTGTCACCGTGGATGTGAGGGTGTCACAGTGCCTTGGTGTGGAACACTTCGTGCTTGGAGGGAGTATCAGTTCCTTCCAMAGACCTGAGAGAGGATTGGCCACCTCGATTTTCTACTGAGGCAGCAACTGGGCTTATTTTCCTGTTCTTTCCCCCTCCATTATATCCTTATTGTGGTGTCTCACAACCTGATTTACACAAGTTTTGTATTACTGTGGCTTTGCCTTATTCTACTTATTCTGCCTCCTTCCCSCACTTATCTTAATGATGAGTCTGCTGTAGGGCAAGGATTTATTCAGAATATCAAACCTGAGAGGGGTGTAGGGCATGGGGCACTGCAGAGCTCAGACTTGTTAAACTGGACACAAGAAAGGTCAGTTTGGAGACTCAGTGCCACCACTGAAGCACGGTTAAATATCAAATCCCTACAGCACTGCTGTGACACTGGGACAATCTGAAACCAGGGGCAGCTCTAGTGATGACCTGGAGAGATTACAGATTCCTGTTTTTAGGGAAAACCATCACAAAAGAGCAAAAAGCTGCTTGCTAGGAGTTCTGAGAGCACTGCCACTGGCAGTGACCAGTGCCAAGGCTCCTGAGCCTCATGTTTGTGGTTTCACTGCCGTGACTTGACCCTGTGTGACAGGAAAATGTCGCAATGGCTGCAGCAGGAAATGCAGAGCCAGCTCCTGCAAGCTGTGGCAAAGTTCTTGTGAGCACATTACCCAGAGAGAAAACACAAAACCTCCCTGGGGTTAGTGCACAGCACGTTGGAGACATCAGCTCCCAGACATGAAGGTTTTTATGCCATTTACCAGGAGAGGAATGCAGAATATTAATTGTCCACGCTGCTGAGAGCCCACTGCCATTACTTGCAAAGCAATAAATTCCCAAAGAGCAGTGGAGCCTGATCCAGATGCAGCTTTGTGCCCTTGGAATTTGCTGTATGTTGGAATCTACAAAACCTATGTTATGTGTTATGAAAGCTGTTACGTGCTTTTTGGGGAGCAAAGATTTATTTGTGACCAGAGTAAAAGCTGAAGCAGTGCTCCTGATAAAGAGGAATTTACTCACAGACCCTTTTTCTATCAAACTCAGTTCACATTTGCACATTTTGGGGGGATTTTTGTCAGCATTTCTGTGGCCTTGAGGTGCCTGCACCAAGCAGGACAAARCCACT